AGTAAACAGACAATTGTATATAGAAAATTGAAGGGAGTAATAAACAAATGGGGAAAGGGTGGATAAATATAATCGAGCGCGAATAAATGAAAAAAAAGAAATAAGGCACAAATGAATATTCAAATGTAAATAAAAATAGCAAATAGTCAGAGAAATTAATGTAATTTAAATTCAGGTTTTAATATTATTTATTCATTACAATTTTTCGAGAATATTTCTTAATTAATATTTTCACATTTCTGTAATAATATTTCATTAATTTTTTTAATTAATATTTTCATATTTTTGTAATATTTTATTTATTTTCGTAATTAATATTTTTATATTTTTGTAATATTTCATTTATTTTCTTAATTAATATTTTTATAATTTTTTTATGATATTCTAATAATATTTTGATAATATTGTAATAAAATTTTTATATCTTATTAATATTTTAATAAACAATTTTATTACAGTTTTCGTAAATAAATAAATTCTTTTCCAGAATTTCAATTTTTTTTTTGAAAATAATGTAGGTTTTCCATAGTTTTAGTTGAAAATTTGAATGTAATTGAATTTTACCAAGAATTTCTTTTAAGTTTTTAAAATAATCGTATTTGTTAATAATTTTAATTATTGAATTTAATTACAATTTTTTGGAAATAATTGAATTCTTTACAAAATTTTATTAAAATTTTTGAAAATAATGAATTTTTTCGAAAAATTTTATAAAAATTCTTCTAAAAATAATTGAATTTTCATAAATATTTTATCAAAATTTTTAAAAATAATTGAATTCTTTCGAAAAATTGTATTAAAATTGCATTGAAAATAATTGACTTTCTCAGAAGAATTTTATTAATTTTTACAAATAATTCAATTCTTACGCAGAATTTTATTAAATTTTTTGAAAATAATTGAATTCTTGGGAAAAATTTTATTAAAACTATTAAAAATAATTGAATTCTGTCAAGAAATTTTATTAAAATTTTTGAAAATAATTTAATTGTTTCGAAGAATTTTATTAAAAATATAAAAAAAAAAATAAATTCTTTTAAGGAAATAAAATTAAATTTTACAGAAAATAATTGAATAATTGCATTTTTGAGAAGAGTTTTATTGAATCTATTTAAAATAATTGAATTTTGTCAAGAAATTTTATTAAAATTGTATTGAAAATAATTGGAAATGCTTTGAAGAATTTTATAAATTATGAAAATAATTCAATTATTTCAAAGAATTTTATTAAAATTTTTAATAATAATTCAATTCTTTCTAGTAATTCATTTAAAAATGTATTAAAATAATAATCTAATAAACAAAATTTATCAAAATTGAAAAAAATAATTGAATTCTTTAGAGAAATTTCATTAAAATTTTACTGAAAATAATTGAATTCCTACGAAGATTTTTTTTAGTTTTGAAAAAATGAGATAGTAAAAAAATAAAATTAGTAAAAATAGAAATTCACTTGTTTCGAAGACAATGTTTAGAAGGAAATTAAAATTTTATCGTGGAATTTGATTAAAATTGTTTACTAAAAATAATTGAATTCTTGAAAAGAATTTTATTTAAAATTACAAAAATAATTGAATTTTTCTGAAGAATTTTATTGTTTTTAAAAATAATTGAATTTTTACTTAGGATTTTATTAAAAAAATTTTAATTTTTGAAAATAATTGAATTCTTGAGAAGAATTTTATTAAAATTGTATTGAAAATAATTGAATTCCTCAGATGAATTTTATTATATTTAAAAATAATTGAATTCTTGCGAAAAATTTTATTAAAAATTTTTTTAAATAATTGAATTCTTATTTAGAATTTTATTAAAATTTTTGAAATTAATTGAATTCTAGACAAGAATTTAAAAATTTTTGAAAATAATTGAATTCTCGAGAAGAATTTTATTAAAATTGTATTGAAAATAATTGGATTTCTCAGATGAATTTTCTTATGTTTAAAAATAATTGAATTCTTGCGAAAAATTTTATTAAAAAATTTTTAAAATAATTGAATTCTTAGGATTTTATTAAAATTTTTGAAAATAATTAATTTCTTGAGAAGAATTTTATTAAAATTTTCGAAAATTGAATTTTTGAGAAGAATTGTATTTCAATTATATTGAAAATAATTGAATTCTTCAGATGAATTTTAGTATTTTTAAGAATAATAATTGAACTCTTGCTAAAGAATTTTACGAAGGGGCGCATGATTATTCCCCAAATGTCATTTTTGCGAAATGTCATTTTTGCGAACTGCACTTTTGCGAAAAGTCATTTTTCCGAAATGTCATTTTTGCGAAATGTCATTTTTGCGAAAAGTCATTTTTACGAAAAGTCATTTTTACGAATTGTCATTTTTGCGAAAAGCCATTCTTGCGAAATGTCATTTTTGCGAAAAGTCATTTTTACGAAAAGTCATTTTTACGAATTGTCATTTTTGCGAAAAGCCATTCTTGCGAAATGTCATTTTTGCGAAAAGCCGTTTTTGCGAAATGTCATTTTTGCGAAATGTCATTTTTACGAAAAGTCATATCAGCGAAAAGCAAATTTTGCGAAATGTCATTTTTACGAATTGTCATTTTTGCGAAATGTCACTTTTGCGAATCGCCATTTTTACGAATTGTCACTTTTGCGAATCGACATTTTTACGAAATGTCATTTTTACGAATTGTAATTTTTTCGAAATATCATTTTTGCGAAAAGTAATTTTTGCGAAATGTCATTTTTACGAAAAGTTATTTTTGCGACAAGTCATTTTTGCGAAATGGCATTTTTACGAATTGTCATTGTTGCGAAAAGCCGTTTTTGCGAAATGTCATTTTTGCGAAATGTCATTTTTACGAAAAGCTATTTTTGCGAAATGTCATTTTTGCGAAATGTCATTTTTACGAATTGTCATTTTTGCGAAAAGTCATTTTTACGAAATGTCATTTTTGCGAAAAGTCAATTTTGCCAAATGTCATTTTTACGAATTGTCATTTTTGCGAAAAATACAATAGTGAATCTATATATACTACTAGTTTACTATTGTATTTTTCGCAAAAATGACATTTCGCAAAAGTGACAATTCGTAAAAATGACATTTCGCAAAATTGACTTTTCGCAAAAATGACATTTCGTAAAAATGACTTTTCGCAAAAATGACAATTCGTAAAAATGACATTTCGCAAAATTGACTTTTCGCTAAAATGACTTTTCGTAAAAATGGCTTTTCGCAAAAATGACATTTCGCAAAAACGGCTTTTCGCAACAATGACAATTCGTAAAAATGCCATTTCGCAAAAATGACTTTTCGCATAAATAACTTTTCGTAAAAATGACATTTCGCAAAAATGACTTTTCGCAAAAATGATATTTCGCAAAAATTACAATTCGTAAAAATGACATTTCGTAAGAATGTCGATTCGCAAAAGTGACAATTCGTAAAAATGGCGATTCGTAAAAGTGACATTTCGCAAAAATGACAATTCGTAAAAATGACATTTCGCAAAATTTGCTTTTCGCAAAAATGACTTTTCGTAAAAATGACTTTTCGCAAAAATGACAATTCGTAAAAATGACATTTCGCAAAATTGACTTTTTGCTGATATGACTTTTCGTAAAAATGACATTTCGCAAAAACGGCTTTTCGCAAAAATGACATTTCGCAAGAATGGCTTTTCGCAAAAATGACAATTCGTAAAAGTGACTTTTCGTAAAAATGACTTTTCGCAAAAATGACATTTCGCAAAAAAGACATTTCGGAAAAATGACATTTCGCAAAAGTGCAGTTCGCAAAAATGACATTTCGCAAAATTGACATTTGGGGAATAATCATGCGCCCCTTTTACGAAAATTTTGAAAATAATTTAAATAGTTTCGAAGAATTTTATTAAACTTTTGAAAAATAATTGAAATGTTTAGAAGAAGAATTTTATTAAAATTTTTGAAAATAATAATCGATTAATTAATTTGTTAACAAGTGAATAATATTTAAATTAAGAATCTAAAATTTAAGGATAATTGAAATTGATTTTTGAAATCTTTCTTTATGATATTCTAACATTCTGTTAAATTTAATTGAAAAATGTTTTGATATTTTAACTTCTTGACAATATTGGAATTATATTTGAATGTTTTAATACAATTTTGATAAAATTTAATAATTCTGATTTTAACATTTTGATAATATTTCATTCACATCTTAATAATGTTGAAATTAAAATGTAATAAAAATTTATTAAAATGTAATAAATACGGGGATGTATTATAAATAAATAAATAAATAAAATAAGAAATATTAAATAGTTGTAGAATTTATAATTGATAATTTTATTTTTCTTGATATTTTATAAAATAAACAGTAAATGTTGAAATTTTAAAAAATATATTATTCATTCTCAATAAGAAAACATTGTAAATTATTTTCACTTTGTCATCAACTTTTTTTTTTGCTCACTTTTATTAACTAGTCTTTTTTTTTTAGGCAACAACAATTTTTTGGATTTCGAGTCAACAAAGTTTCAAGGAGTTAGGACGATAACAATGGGGAGGCAAAAAAGAGCAGAGAGCTCATCATCCAATTTGTAAACATTGACCAGAGTGATGAACCGAAAAAAGAGAGAAATTTCGTCCATTTCCTGGAGAAAAAGGATTTCGAAAACCCTTAAGACATAGGAGAAGGAAATCACGTTTTTTTTCTACTTCTTCTTCTTGGTTCTCTTGGTGTGCATTAAGACTCGTTGAAGGCGGTTTCCGGAGGGTAAGTTACAATCTCGGAAGTGTCCATTAAACGCTCGCGGAAATATATCAAACACGAAAATTTTCTTTTTCTGTACATTTTCAATGGGAATTGAAAGAAATGAGAATTTTACGAGAGTAAAAAAAACTGATTGGAGTTTATGGAAAGAAAAAAAAAGAAAATTGCAACAATTTGCAAAGAAAATGCAAATTAAAAGGGGAAAAAAATAATAGAGTTCTAATTGAATGGTATTTAGAATTGAAAAAAAATGAATCACTACAAGTCAACACTCACGTGTTTTAGACGTTCATCTCTCTCTCTCGACGCAGAGGTTAATCTCAAGGGAGAGTCGAACTGGCACGAAGAATGATTTCATCACGATAAACAATTGTTTCTTCGCAGTAATAATTTTTTTTGTTTCTCTTTCTTTTGCTCTCGAATTCGTTCTCTTGGGGGTGGTTTTTTTTATAATTTTTTTTTTTTTGTTTATTTTTGTTTATTATTATTATTTTCTTTGGGTATAAATAAAGTCCACTGGGTCACATTTTTTTTCGATTGTTAATTTTTATTCACCGGTTGATTTTTTGTTTGCGAGCACAGGTGAAAAATAAAGACAGAAAGCGGCCTATAATAATGAGGGAGATCGAGAGAGGGAAAGAGAAAAACAAGAACGAGGCAGTGACCGGACTGGAGGCGCAAATTTGTGCCGCTCGGGCTCGAAGGTATGAGCGTGGACTAGGGCGTGGGCAATCCGAGCAAACCGAGCGAGCGGACAGACTACATTGATTTTGATTTTCGAAGGCGCGCGCACTTGTCCCGAGACACGGCCCGGCTCTGCCCATTCATATCGTACTCCTTACCCGGAGAACATTGGTCCCTATTCCACAAAGGACACGCCGCGCCTGTCTTCGCGTAAAGGTTCGCAAAAAAAAAAAAAAAAACTTTTTTCTTTTTTTTTTTTTGGCGATGGTTCAAGACGTTAAGCGCTTAAACACTTCTTCGCCTTTTTTTTCTCTTTTCTCACTCTCGTTCCTCTGGTTTCTCTGGTTTCCTCTTTCCTTACACAGGAAACGAGAGTTGAATCGTTTTCGACAACTTTTATTGGATAATTTAAGTATGATAGGAATTTGGAGAAAAAAAAGGATCTTCAAGGATAATTGAACGAAGAATAAGAGAGAGAGAGAGAGGGTGGAGGGGTTAATAAAACTTGAATCAGAGCTTGAAATTAGTAGTGAATTCGATTTCAAGTTTTATTTCATTTTCTTTTTTTTTCGAGACTAATCTTGATTATAGAATGTATTGCTTTCCTAGGAAAAAAAAGAGGAGAGGAATGATTTTCGTACTTTTTCATGTGAGAAACTTTTCGTTATTTCGTTATAAAGTTAGATTGAGGAAAAATGCATTACCACCACGGGGGAGAAAATTTAGGAAAAAGTTATCATTTTTGAATAGTTGGTACAGAAAATTAAGGGAGGAAATTATTAAAAATAGAAGAAGAAATTCGTAGGGGAAAAAAATTTTTTGAATTACAATGAAGTATAAATTTTTCTGCTATTTTGATTTTTAAATTTCAATTTCAATTTTCGAATATTTTAAATAGAAAAGAAGAATTTATTTCTAAATCGAAAAGATTTAGAATTCTGAAATTAAGAAATTTCAATTTACAGAAAAAAAAAAATACTTTTTCGAATATTTAGAAAAAAATTACTTTTAAATTAAAAGAAAATTGAATTTTGTCAGTTTATAATATTCTAAAATTAGAAATTCTATTTTCAAACAATAAATCCTTTTTTGATTCAAATAAAATTAGGTAAAAATTTTTCTGATATTGATTTTGAAAATTATATTTTGATTTTTGAATATTTCCAACTACAAATAGAAATTGAATTTTTGGAATAAGAAAATTGAAATTTTTTAGTTTAAAATTGTGAAATTCGAATCTTAAGTTTTAGGAAAAAATCGTTGTTATGAATTAAAAGAAAATACAATTTTCTTTAGTTTATAATATTCTAAAAAATAGAAAATAGAATTTCCATGGAAATTCTATTTTAAAACAAAAAAATCCTTTTTTGAATAAAATAAAATTAGGTCTAAATTTTTCTAGTACTGATTTTAAAAATTAAATTTTGATTTTTGAATATTTCATACAAAAAATAGAAATTGAATTTTCGATCAAGAAAATTGAAATTTTTTCACATAAAAATTCTAAAATTTGAGTCTTAAGTTCTCGATTTTTTAAGAAAATCGTTATTATGATCTAAAAAAATAGAATTTTTTTCGATTCAAAATTTTGTAATTTCAAATTTTATTTTCGAAAAAAAATCCTTTTTTGAATAAAATCAAAATATAAATTTTTCTGATACTGAGTTTGAAAAATAAATTTTGATTTACGAATATTTTAAACAAAAAAAAGAAATTTAATTTTTGAAAAAGCAAATTGAAATTTTTCAGTTAAAAATTCTGAAACTTGAGTCTTGAGTTCTAAAAAAAATTGTTGTTATGAATTAAAAGAAAATAGATTTTTTTTCGTTTCTAACTTTTGAAATTTGAAATTCTATTTACGAAAAAATTCTTTTTTGAATAAAATCAAAATATAAATTTTTCTAATACTGATTTTAAAAATTGAATTTTTATTTTTGAATATTTCAAACAAAAAAAGAAATTTATTTTTGAATATAAAAAAATTAAATTTCTTCGGTTTGAAATTCCGAAATTTCAATCTTGAATTTTGGACAAGAGATCGTTGTTTTAAATTAAACAAAAATGGAATGTTTTTTTAATTATGATTCTAAGATTAGAAATTCTATTTTCGAACAAAAAAATAATTTTTGGAATAAAATTAAATTATAAATTTTTCTGATCCTAATTTTGAAAATTGAATTTTGATATTGGACTATTTTAAACAAAAAAGAAGTTTATTTTTTATTTATTTATTACAAAATACAGTTTTGAATATTAGATAGAAAATTGAAATTTTTCGGTTTGAAGTTCTGAAATTTGAATATTGAGGTTTACAAAAAAAATAATTATTTAAAAAAAAAGGAAAATTGAAACTTCTTTTAGGTCAATTTTGAAATTCAGTTTTCCATTTTTGAATATTTTGAAGAAAAATTCACTTTTTAATTAAATGAAAATAGAATTTTTCCCGTTTATGATTCTAAAATTTAAAATTCATTTTCTAAAACCAAAAATCTTCTCAAATTCCGAAATTTGTATATTGAAGTTTAGAAAAAAAATTCATTATTTTGAAATAAAAGAAAATTGAAACTTTATTTAGGTCGATTTTGAAACTCAGTTTTTCAGTTTTGAATATTTTGAAGAAAAATTCATATTTGAATTAAGAGAAAATTCAAATTTTTTTCAATTAAAAATTGTAAAATTTTATTTTAAAATTTGAGTTTCGATTTAAAGACAGAAAATCGTTGTTTAAAATTTATATTTTCTTTTTATTTGAAAAATGAGTTTTTTGTAGAAAAAATTTAAATAAAAATTTCATAATTATAAATAGAAAAAAATTCCATTTTCCTTTCATTCAAAAGAGGGTTTTTTTTTGTTTAAAATATTTAAGAAGTGATCTGAATTTTAAAATCAAAATAAAAAAGTTTTTATTTTCTTTTAATTCAAAACAACAATATTTTGTCAGACAAGCAAAATTTAATTTTCAAAATCGGCAGCAAAAAAATTTATATTTTGATTTTATTGAAAAAGAACTTTTTTTTAAAAATAGAGTTCCTAATTTTTGAATTATAAATTGAAAAAGTTCTATTTTCTTTTAAGTCAAAAGTGAATTCTTTTTCGAAAATTGAAAATGGTCTTTACACTAATTTTGAATATTTGAATTTCCATTTTCTAATATTTCGAAAAAAGGGATTTTTTAATTAAAAAAAATAAAATTGATTTAAATTCATAATTCGAAAATTTGTAATTCGATTTTCAAATGAAACGCAATCCTTTTTTGAATTACAAAAGAAAAACTTTTTCTAATACTGATTTTGAATATTTTATTTATATTTTTGAATAATTTTAGCAAAAAAAGAAAAACTTTATTTTTGAATACAAAAGAAAGAATTTTCTTCAATTAACATAATTCTGAAATTTGAAGTTCGATTTTAAACAAAGAAAAACTTTATGTTTTGAATTAAAATGAAATGTGAAAATTTCCAAAAAATTTAGAATTTTTAATTATCGATTTTTATTTTCAAGTATATTTGAATTTATGGATATTGAAATATTGTTAGGAAAAATAATATTATAGTTTATATTAGTTTCATTATTCACTTAAATAAGAATTTCTAATTTTTCCATTAAATATTCATATCGTTAATTTTAACACAATTCTGTAATATAAAATATTATACATTTAATTTTTAAATTAAATATTCGTATATTGTTAATTTTAATTTTAACACAATTAAGTAATATAAAATATTAATTTTCAAATTAGAAGTTTACTCAAGTTTCACGTATAATAATGTTTTCATATAATATCTAGAAATTAGCTGTTTATTTAGTATATAATTTGAAATACAATATTGTGAAATTATTCCTGATTAAATAATAATATAATGAAAATGAAAATAATAGTAATAAAAATAAAGATATAGTATTATTAATAAATAATGAAAATAATAAAATTAATAATAAAATACGGATTTTAATAATAATAATAATAACAATAATAATGTTCGTTTTTTTCCTATTTTTACAGATGAAAGTAACAAATATGAAGTCTGGCGTAAATTTCAGGATCAGCATTTTACGATGCAGCGTATAATGTTCCTAATCGGTGAGTGCGTCTTTTATCGATCATAATAATTATATTTGCCTCGTAACACAATAATTTGATGCGGATAATAATTTCTCACGACATTGTGTTTGTGATTAATTAAAATAGCAATTTTTTTTTCCCCCAAGGCAAAATTTAATTTAATTAGAAAAAAAGGAGAATCTTTTCGGTCAACAATAGATAGAATTGAAAAAATTCCGATAAAAGTTTTTTATTTTCTATTTTTTAACCGAGAATTTAATTTCGAAAATTTTATTATCTCTTTTCTCTTGATTAAATAACCATTTTTGGTTAAAATCGTTTTTTTTTTTTTTGTTTAACAATTATAATAAAAGAAAAAAATTAATGTTCCCGGAAATTGATAATAATATTGGTTAAAAATTAATTTACATTATTTTCTTGAAACACATTTTCATAAATTTAATTTATTTCTACTGGTTCTTCTAATTGAAAATTGAATTACACGTTCATTGATTAAAAGAACCTAGTGGTATCGACAATCATTGTTTTATAGAATGTGCATCGTTTCCCCCCTTCTGTTTTTTTTTCTCTTTTTATTGAAAAAAAACATGATGGAGATATTTTTAAAAAATCAATACTATCATATAACGATTTTTTTTGTTTTTAAATATTTATTATTATTTATTATTCATGGTTCATGCCTTTTTACTTTGTACGCTTTTGTTTTTAAATATTTTCTATATAATAAATTTCTGATTTTTTATGGAATAACATGAGCCAGTAATTAATTTCTTTTTTATCTCAAATTTACACTCCATTATATTTTTATTCAATTTTTTTGAACAATATTAATCACTGGTTACTTTTAAAAATTTAATCAATAATTAATTTTTTAATCAAACATTTACAATTCTGGAATAATTTTTTTTATTCTGCTAACTTTTATTATTTAAACTAGCGCGCAAAATGTAGTATTTAATTTTTATTATTATTTTGCAGATTTCAAATTTTTCATTATCAAATATCAACTTTAATTTTTAAATTATTTT